GGCCGGGAAAGCGAGAGCTCCCGCCTCACCAGCGAGGGCGAGAGCCGGGCGCGGCGCGAAACTCCGGCGAGAGCTGAAGGCTGCCCCTCCTGCAGCCCCCGGGGGTCCTGGCACTTGGCCACCGGCTGAGGAAGAAAAGGGAAGTGTCAGATCTGGGCGGCAGGTTAGTGCACGACCCTGTGGGGACTTGGCACTCCGTGATGGCACAGGTGGACGTGGGTAGGCGCACCAGCGAGGGCGAGAGCCGGGCGCGGCGCGAAACTCCGGCGAGAGCTGAAGGCTGCCCCTCCTGCAGCCCCCGGGGGTCCTGGCACTTGGCCACCGGCTGAGGAAGAAAAGGGAAGTGTCAGATCTGGGCGGCAGGTTAGTGCACGACCCTGTGGGGACTTGGCACTCCGTGATGGCACAGGTGGACGTGGGTAGGCGCTCCCTCCACTCACTGCTCCGGGGCTGCAGGAGCTTGCAGGCCTGTGTCAGGGTCAAGTTCTTCCAAGGAGAGCCTAGCCGGAGTGAAAGACTGCGCTTCAGCCAGGCTGTACATTTTAGTGTGTGTGTGTGGGGGGGTATTATTAGTATTATTATTATTATAAGCAGGTTGCAAATATTTAATGAAAGTAGCAGAGCAGACCACAAGGGAAGGGAGGTGGATAAAAAGGGCAGGGGGATGATGTAGTAAAGTATGTACAAACAATCTAGCATCTTTTATGGCTAGCAAGAGGGCCTCCTTCCCTCCTTAAAACCAATTTGCCAGCACCAACATTTTCTGCTGCAACTTCTTGACACCAAAGTAAGCCCAAAGTAGGTCGCTAGGGTGTAATCTCTGGGTAAGTGTTGACGTTTCCTAGATGGTTTACTACACCTGCAACATTAGCTAGAAACTGCTTAGCATTATTCCACAGGTTAAGACTGAAATGGGAGACGATCTCAATCTATTTGAACATTAAATTATTTGTAATTTTTCTTATTGCTCAGCATCAAGTGTAGTTCCACAGCCTGCAATCCTGGCAGGACAGAACATGACTTTGTGGAAATCTGCCTTAATGCTTTGGTGTTTGACATCTTCTCTCTGTCATTGACCAAAAGTAACGTGCCTGAGAATTGTGTGTATGAAATGCAAAGCACATTGTTTATTATAAATGCAAATTGTTATGCCAGCAAAAATCTTATTTTTTCAATCTATGCAACCTATCCTTATAAAGAACTACAAAACCAGGCATCTTGCTATTGATCCTACAATTTTTACTCAAGCAAACCACTGATTTGAACGTGAGTGTTACTGGAATAGAATGCACAGTCATACCCTACAAAAACCAAGTGAGTTCCAAACAGACCCTGTTTTAATAAAACAGCAAAATTGCAGCAAAGATGTTGGTTCAACACAGAAAAAAATCATTTAAGTTAGAAGACAACTTTTTCACATTTAAACAAGGCACTTATAGTGGATATTTTTAAATCCTGTTTATGATTCTGTCACTGTGAACTGGATCCTGCAGACACTTTGGCAAGTAACTTTATAACTGCACATGTGTTCCAGTGAAGCAAAGCACCTGCATGTACAGGTAAGTGCAGGATACGCATCTATGACTATGGAAATAAAACTGAATGGGCTTTGTTCACCCCACAAATAGAGCAATACTACATGTGACAGTTTCTTTGAAAATATAAATTTTTTTTGACTGCCAGTTTACATTTTTCCTTGGTTTGGGTTGGATCATATCTGGTTTTGTCTTAATTCTGCTAGATATTATCAAAATATTCACATAAGAATAAGACCTCTGTTACAAAAAAAAGCTCACGAAAGTATGTCTTTTCATCAGCAGTTTTACAAAGTAATGGAAGTTTAGTTCTAACCGGAGTCTTAAGTAAATAAATGTTAACAGTGTTCACTGGCATTATCATAGTTGAAATTGTAGTTTATAAATTTTTGAGAGCATCAGCATCATGATATGGTTGTCATAGAAACTGCAACAATATGTCATTTCAATTAATTTTACATGCAGTGATGATAAGGTCTATTCTTATAACTGTTCTATAAAACAAATTCTAAAAGTAAATGCAGACGAGTAAGGAGTAAGAACTATACATACAAAACAGCACTTTTCAAATTACTACTTGGTTAAAGAAAAGCAAGAGAGGTATAACATTGTTAAAATCATAACTCAGTTTACAGTTGAGAACCAGCAGCTAAACTGATTTGATTTTAAAGATATGAAAAGAAAAAGGTGAAAAAGATTTAAATTCTTAAGGAAAAAATATCAAAGCTCAATGAACCAAATCTGGTCACATTTAAAAATTCAGGATTCCAGTTTAAGGAATGCAAAAATATTTAAAAATAATTTTTAAATCACGAATGATCTTTCTGGGCGTAGAAGGGGTGAAAAGTCAAACACTGCAAATCTAGGACCACAATACAATTTTAAAACATTTATATGGTTAGAAATAAAACATGAATGGATTTATTTTTCATGTATAATGCAGCTACTGTGTGTTATGAATGCTACCTTAAGTAAATCATTGCCAGACACACTCACTTGACGTTAATGACTTGATTATTAGAACAGAAAAGCGTACTAAAATAAAAACAATGTTCTTTAAAAATAGTAATTGCACTGTGGACAAAAGATGTATCTCTTTACTTATCTGTCCTTTGCTATGTTGGGGGTCAACATTCTTGGCTAAGATCATGGGATTTCTTTTATGTGCTTCATAAAAACATACAATTCAATAATTTACATGAAGGAAAATACTGAACAAATCTTAATGGGAAAAATATATTGAATTTCTGATTTTACATACTTTAAAGGTGATTAGGAAATATATAAATGGCATAATTTTCTTAATAAATTTAATGAGTTGCCACACAGCCTGCAATGTAGACCTGAAATTATTTGAGACTGCAAGTTGTCTGTAAGTAAATAAAAACTAAAAATATATTTTTTTTAAATCAGCCTAAAGGAGCTATCTTCAGTAGAAAAGGGAGAAGCATCCAGAGCTATTCTTCTTGATAGGATTAAGGAGTGCTACAAAAGAAGCATTTAAATCTCTAGATTTCCCTGACAATTAACAATGAAAAGCAGATGTTTACAAAGCTATTTTATATGCTGGTTTGTAAAATGCTAAAAGATGGTTTGTGGATGGTAAGAAGGAAGAGCTGGATAACTGCTTGTCTGGTGTATATTTAAAAGCATTTTCATTGGCTCAGTTATTGTTAATAATGAAAGAAACACTTTGTGCTGTATGACTGTGACTATAGAAAACTGCCATCATAAAGTCCTCAACAAACTCTTAAGATGTAATTTACAAAGATAATAATAACACAGAATTATTTCACTTCTCTGAATGCTAGACATTTGCATACCAGGACTGTGTACAATATACTCATAATGCACATTCATAACAACAAGGACTTCTTAACACTGCAACTAAAGCATGAGATCTGTGCATTAAACAATCTACAGCTCCAAGTTTTCCTTTGGTGTGAAACTGTTTCTACAACCCAGGTGCTAGCTGCCTGCACAAAAGAAGCCCATACTCTATTCTACACCTTCACTTTGTATGATAATACACGGAGTACTGCAAAGCTGCAACAGTAGAGGTTACCCAGTAGCATTTACAAATATGTCAAATTAACTTTTAACAGGAATTTGAGAGGAAGGACTGAAACAGAAGATCTGGGTTCTAGTCCTACTTTTGGTGCAAACTTACAGAGAGATTTTAAGCAAGTTACTTTGGCCAAAACGTTCAGACACGCATATTTCAACCCCAATTTAATGAATTCATTAAGGTTAGTGTGCTTAGATCGGGTACATGCACAAATATATACACATGTAGGCATCGGTTTGTGAACAGTTAGGCCCTAAACCTTTTGGGTTCTCAGTCTTCCTGTCCATTTAATGGAGATTATCTTATTTAGCTATCTCAGGGAGATGCTGGGATTCTTAATTCCTAAGGGACTCCTTAAATAATCAGTCCATCTATGTTTACATGTAATAAGGACTTCTATTAAGGGTCCCAATCCTGAAAAGTCTCAGGTATATGCTTAACTTTACACATTTTAAGTAGTCTTGTTTAGTCTAATAGGATTACTCACTGGGCCCATCTACATGAAACTTTTACTATGCAGCAGACTAATATGCTGTGCAGTAAAGCATCAGCATCAACATGTGTGCAGCAATCAGGGAAACACTAATTTACTGCACTGCTGGATAGTCCCATCACATACAAGTGGTATCTGGCAGCGTAGTAAATTACTGCGCTTAAATTACCATGTAGACAGTGACACTGGGATTAGTTTATTCTGGCTCAA